CCCCTTAACCCCAAACATCCATTGAGGTTATCTTCTGACCAAACCAATGCATCTGTAAAGCTTGAAGGTCAAGGGTCCATGTGTTGTCCAGTTATTGATAGAAAACCGTTTTGACATACAAGGTCAATGCGACCTTGACCTTTGACCTTCTGATCCCAAAATCAATAGGGTCAAGTATAATGCACCTACATAGTTTGAAGGCCAACAGAAGGCCTATGGGTTGTCAAGATATTGATTTGAAACCGTTTTTACCTACAAGGTCAATGTGACCTTGACCTTTGACCCCTTTACCCCAAAAAGGGGCCATCTGCTGGTCATGAACAATCCTCGTACCAAGTTTGAAGTTCCTAGGCCTAAGCTTTCTCTAGTTATCACTCGGAAACCATTTGGTCTACGAACCGACAAATGCAAAGCAATATACCCCTTCTTCTTTGAAGGGCGGGGGGGGGGGGGGTCATAAAAAGATTGCTTTGCTCAGGGCTTTGAACTCATTCTTTACCGAAACTCTGCTCTCACTGAAAATTAACACTCTTTAAGATAGGAGAATTTGCATAAAGCATTTAATACTTTAAATTTCATTTTAATTAGATGGGACCTCTGAAATTTACCTGTGTTTTGCCAGCTGTTATCGTGGCAGTAGCAGCAGCAGTATCAGAAGCTGCAACAGGCACAACAACAGCAACAACACGTATACGCAATTGTAATATGACGTTGACTTTACAGATTATATTAGTTGGGGGTCAATATTTTATAGATAAAATAGGGGGGTCATTATTTTATATATAAGGGGGTCACTATTTTATAGAAGGGGGTCACTATTTGATATAAAATAATGACCGGGGGTCATTATTCATTGCGGGTCACTTTACAACGCTACACCTGCAACGTCCGGGATGTTCCGGCATTCGATCCCGGATGGATTTAAATATTTAATATCACTGGGATGGTCCGGGATGATCCGGAAAGTATAGCTTTGCCTGCTTCATCCTAAGCTCTGCCGGGAACGACCGGGGTTACACCGGGGACGCACTGTAGCTCTGCCGGTTTAACGGCACAAACCGGTGATGATCCGGGGCATGATATAGCCGGTAGAGCTACGGTAGAGCCCCGGTAAATGCTGGCAGAGCTCCGGTGAATGCCGGCAGAGCCCCGAAGGATGCCGGCAGAGCCCCGGAGCTACGGTTGATCCCGGTAGAGCCCCGGTAAAGTCCGGTTCATTTCAAAAGAATCGCGACAATTTGCGATGATTTCACTTTTTTGTATTAAAACCCTACCCATTTCCCTTTTATCAAGTCTTGCCCAAGGATTTTTCAGACAATCATCATGAATTACTGTTCTGGAACAATAGATATAATATTAAAAAAAATTATGTATCAATGTAATCATTTTTGTTTTTAATCCACCGGGGTTCTACCGGGACTCTGCCTGGATCGTCCTGGGCTCTCCATGGATCGACCGGGCCTCTGCCTGGGTCAACCGGGGCTCTTCCGGCGTCATCCAGAAACGACCGGGAAAGCACCGGCATGAACTGTAGCTTTACCTGGGCTCTGCCTGGATGGTCCGGAGCGCATCCTTGGTGGTTAGTTGGGAATTACCGTAGTGCTGCCGGGTTAAATTTGACCACAACAATAATTTCACCCGGACCATCCCAGTAACTTACCGTATCTCGTGGCCACGACTTAGCTATCTCGTGGCCACGACTTAGTAACTCGTGGCCACGACATAGTATCTCGTGCGCACCAGATAAATAAAAACACACACATGTCACCTTTGTGCCACCGTAGTATACCGGTATTTGAAAATTGTTATTTTTTATTTTCTTCTTTGTTACTATAAATGATGTCTTCTTTAAACTTGAGATAATTGTTCTTTGTTACACTCACATCATGTATGACAATGTTCATAAGTCTAGCGTCTTTATTTCAAGAGTTCTCTCCTCTTAGTTTAAGAATTTTGCTTTTAAATATGTTATATTCTGGTAACAATTAGGGATGTTTAAAGATTTACCCACAGTCTCTGTCATTTGGTCTGCCTGTCCGTTCCTAAAAACTGTTTCTTGGGGTCACTTTGAAATAACTTTTCCAACAAATTTACTTAAAATAGAGAAAAGTTGAAACATTAGTTATATATATTCATCCATCTTTTGATTATCTGTTGTATAAACATAATTTCCTTACTAGGCAGGGAAAAGTGGAACTTAAAGATCCTGTAACACAATTTTTATGGTAATATGATGCTCAAATTATGATTTGTCAATATTGTAAGTTCCAATCAGCATTATTGTTAAAGATATTACGGAATTAAAATTTCATGTAAATAAAGGGAGGTAATTAGAAATTTATTTTCTATAAATTCTAAGTCAAATTTCTCAATAAGAAATGAAATTTAATGAATGCATATAATTTATTGATTAAATATAATGTGCACAAATATTTGCAGTACACATTTTACATATTCTTCGATGTTTGAAAATTGTTTTATTTGCATAATTATATACATATATAATTTTTTGCAAGTGTGGTACACACACAGTAACAATATCAATCACAAAACATACAGGATCTTTAACACATTACTAACATATAGACAAATTGAGAACTCAAAAAATTTAAGTTCATTCATGTCATTCATTCATTCATTTATTCATTCATTTATTCAATCAATGGCAAAATTCAATAACCAATGGCCCTTAAGAATGTTGCTGGGGTTCTAATCGGTAGGGGACTTATGGATTGCTTGCAATACTATGATAATTGCTTGTTAATAAATTGTACAAGCAAAGTTTCTTATTACTTGCTAGAATATTTAATTAGGTTGTATTTTTTTTTTAAATTGCATCATACATTTGTTATCGGCAGTTTATATACCATGTGCAAACGTAAGTTTGTCAGAATCCACTTATGTCATGTAGGTTGTTGTTTTTTATGCCACCGCAGCATCTGCGATGCGGTGGCATATAGCGATTCACCTGTGTGTTTGTGTGTGTGTGTTTGTACGTGTGTTCTATAGATTATATTGTGAACTTAAAAATTTTCTTGTGAAATCCACTAGTCCAATTTCAACCAAACTTGTCAGGATTGATCCTTGGGTGAAGCACCGTGAAGGGCTTCCAAAGTTGTTCAAAGAATTTCATTCCATGCAGAAATCTGGTTGCCATGGCAACCAAAGGGAATTATAAGAATAAATTCAAAAAAATCTTCTTGTAAAGACCAAAAAATCCTAGAGCTTAGATATTTTACATAAGGCATTGTCCGGTAGACCTCTACCAAGATTCTTCAAATTATAGCCCTGGGGTCAAAATCGGTCCCGCCCCTGGGGTCATTGATTTTCACTATATGTACATATAGTAAAAACTTAAAATACCTTCTTGTCTGAAGGTACAAAGCTTGGAGGTTTGATATTTTGTATATGTTATTATCTATAGGTACTCTACCAAAGTTGTTCAAATTTTGCATCTAGTGTCAAAATCAGCCCCGCCCCGGGGGTCATAGGTTTTCGTTGTATGTATATAGTAAAAACTTTTTTAAAAAATTGACAAATGCTAGAGGTTATATATTTTGCGGTGAAACTCTACCAAGATTGTTCAAATTATATCCCTGGGATCAAAATTGGCCCCGCCACGTGGGTCATTGATTTTCAATATGTACATATAGTAAAAAATAAAAAAATCTTATTGTCTGAAGGTAAAAGGCTTAGAGCTTTAATATTAGTTATATGATATCATCTATAGGTACTCTACCAAAGTTGTTCAAATTTTGCCTCTAGTGTCAAAATTAGCCCCGCCCCGAGGGTCATAGGTTTTCCTTATAATTTTTAAGTTATATGTATATAGTAAAAACTTAACAAATCATCTTCTCTAAATTGACAAATGCTAGAGGTAAGATATTTTGCATAAAACATTGTGTAGTGAACCTCTAGCGAGATTGTACACATTATAGCCCTGGGGTCAAAATTGGCCCCATCCCCCAGGGGTCATTGATTTTCACAATGTAGTGAATGTACATATAGTAAAAAGTCTTCTTGTCTGAAGGTACAAGGCTTAGAGCTTTGATATTTGGTATATAATATCTATGGGTCCTCTACTAAAGTTTTAATTATGCCCCTAGTGTTAAAATTGCCCTGTCCCAGAGGCGATAGTTTTCCTTATATGTATAAAGTAAAAACTTGAAAAATCTTCTTCTCTGAATTGACAAATGCTAGAGGTAAGATATTTTGCATAAAACATTGTGTAGTGAACCTCTAGCAAGATTGTACACATTATAGCCCTGGGGTCAAAATTGGCCCCATCCCCCAGGGGTCATTGATTTTCACAATGTACATATAGTAAAAAGTCTTCTTGTCAGAAGGTACAAGGCTTAGAGCTTTGATATTTGGTATATTATATTATCTATGGGTCCTCTACTAAAGTTTTAATTATGCCCCTAGTGTTAAAATTGCCCTGTCCCAGAGGCGATAGTTTTCCTTATATGTATAAAGTAAAAACTTGAAAAATCTTCTTCTCTGAATTGACAAAGGCTCGAGGTTAAATATTTGGCATGAGACTTTGCGAAGTGAACCGCTACCAAGATTGTTCAAATTATAGCCCTGGTGTCAAAATTGGCTCCGCCCCGGGGGTAATTGATTTTCTTTATGTACATATAGTAAAAAGAAATCTTTTTGTCTGAAGGTACAAGGCATAGAGCTTTGATGTTTGCTATATAATATCATCTATAGGTCCTCTACCTCTACTTTGATGTACAGCAATGAAATTTTGACCATATTCCTACTCTGATCTTTTATTTGAATAACAATAGATTTAACCATTAATCTGATAATAAGAATTAGATAGGTCAGGGATCTATGCATTATGACAATCTTCAATTGTATAAAAACAAAATGAAATCTGTTTCTACACTTCTATTTAGTGTTGTTTTAATGCGGTGGCATAGCATTTTTCACAAATGCAATCTTGTTTTAATGTCTAGTGATTTAATCGTTTTTATGTAACATTTATGCTCTAGGAAATGCATCAGAAGACGAAATACAGACATTGTACGAAAATAGACTGATACCAACCGTTGCCAACGAAAAATTTTTGTCGTCATGGTTACGTCTCTGGCGGCAACAACAAAGAAACACACTGTGTGTCGAGGTATACGATTTTGATATTCAGTGTATAGAAGACATTTGATTTTAAACCCTTACATACTCTAATGATAATAAGAAATCTGTTCATAAAGTTAAATTTTCGTAATTTTAACTTCATCAACAGATTACAACTATTAACTTTCAGAGTGTAATTATGTAATCAAGTAATTAACATAAAACTCTATACACGTACCTTAATTAAATCACCGTGCATATCCAGTAACGCAGAAATGTGCAATTAACGTAAAAGTAACGTAACGCCGAATCTGTGCATGTAACCATTTATTTGTGCTTTTTCCATCTTAGACACTCAAGCCGTTTGTAGAAATATCAGACAGCTATGTACTTCATGTATGATATGCAATTTACAACCCGTGTCTTTGCAATTTGCCGAAACTTAGAAACAATGTCCCACAGTATTTATGGGATGCCTTCCCCTTGTGTACCTGCTCGCTGGCATAATGCCGGCAAATAAACACATAAGAAATTTCAAATTCCTGTAAAGATATTGAATTATTGGCCGGGTTGCACTGGTTCAAACCCGGGTTATAGTATGGCGAATGTCGAACGGCGGGCGGGCGGGGAAAAACTTTTCGTAACAGTTTTCTCAGCAACTTCTTAGCATAGCCTCTTGATATTTGGCATCCAGCATTGATACGTGGTCCCATACCGTGGGATTCGATTTCAGGTCTGTTGCTTGGCCACTTCCTGTTTACTGACTTAGTTAAATTTTCTACATTAATGGTCAATGGTAGGAAATTTTCGTAACAGTTTTCTCAGCAACTACTTATCACAGCCTCTTGATATTTGGCATACAGCATTGATACATGGTCCCATACCGTGGGATTCTATTTCAGGTCTGTTGCTTATCCACTTCCTGTTTACTGACTTAGTTAAATTTTCGACATTAATGGTCAATGGTAGGACATTTTCGTAACAGTTTTCTCAGCAACTACTTAACCAAAAAAAAACTGTCTTTATTTCCAAAATAATTGACAACTTTATTTTTTTTATTTGAAACATATATTTTGCTGGTGAAATAAATTCTATATAATGTTCATATTTGTATTTTATTTTGTATTGAAATACTATTAAGATGAGAGTTTATAGCAAGCAAACTGAATACTTTTTCCTACTTTTCACTTTCAAATACTGTATTTGTATGATTTCAAAGACAGGAAGCGAGAAACAAGCATAACAAGAATTTGTAACAGAGTTCCCAACGTCCCCCGCCTCGGGGAAGTTTTATATGAAGCATAAGATTGTGCTATTATGGATCTCAGGGCTTTCAGTCCAAGATTATGATCAATGCTATATCTGCAAATGCAACAATAAATTTATTAAAGAAATAAAATGAAACGAGGAATTTAAAAATCTATCAAGTTAAGCTTTGACCCCTAAGTGTGACCTTGACCTTGGAGGTAGGGGTACAGGTGTTGTGCATGACATATCGTCTTATTATTGTTACTATTTGTGCCAAATATTTTCAAAATCCCTATGAAGAAGTTATAGATCGGACATAAAATATACCCTATAACAGACTATGTTAATATTTGACCTCTAAGTGTGACCTTGGAGGTAGGGACCCATGTATTGTGCCTGAAATATCATCTTATCATTGTGACTATTTGTGCCAAGTATTTTCAAAATCCCTTGATCTATGAAGAAGTTATGGACGGGACACCATATAACAGACTCTGTTAAACTTTGACCTGTTAGTGTGACCTTGACCTTGGAGGTAGAGATGCAGGTGTTGTACTTGACATATCATCTTATTGCCTAGACTAGTTATTTCAAAATCTCGAAGAAGTTCTAGATCGGACACAAAATATACCCTAAAACAGACTATGTTACTTTTTGACCTCTAAGTGTGACCTTGAACTTGAAGGTTAGGATGCAGGTGTTGCGCATGGCACATCGTCTCATTATTGTGAACAATTGTGGCAAGTATTTACAAAATCCCTTCAAAGATAAGGAAGTTATGGACCGGACACGACATATACCCTCAAATAGACAATGTTGACCTCGAATGAGCAAGTGCGACCTTGACCCTTGAGGTAGGGGTCTGGTTGTTGCGCATGACACATCGTCTTTTTATAACAAACATTTGTGCCGAATTATTTCAGATTCCTTTGATAAATGACAAAGTTATGGACTAGACACAAAATATACCCTGTAACAGACTATGTTAATCTTTGTCCTCCAAGTGTGACCTTGACCTTGGGGGTAGGTGACCGGTTGTTGCGCATGACACATCGTCTCATTATTGCGAACAATTGTGGCAAATATTTACAAAATCCCTTCAAAGATAAGGAAGTTATGGACTGGACACGACATATACCCTCAAATAGGCAATGTTGACCTTGAATGAGCAAGTGCGACCTTGACCCTGGAGGAAGGGGTCTGGTTGTTGCGCATGACACAACGTCTTTTTATAACAAACATTTGTGCCGAGTTATTTCAGATTCCTTTGATGAATGACAAATTATGGACCGGACACGAAAGTGTGACGGACGGACAGACGGACGGAGCATATTTCTATATCCCCCTTTTTTCTTCGAAAAGGCGGGGGACAATTAAATGAAATAAATTGACGAAATAGGACAGGCAATAAAATCGTTCGGCCATTGTACACATTAAATTTGGTTCGACCATTTTACTCGTTTTTAAAAAAAAGAAAAAAAGATGCACAACTTCGTTGTGCAACTTTACAAAGGATGGAAATTGTTCTTGACGGGCAAATTTGCAATTGTGCACAAGATGTCGTTGCTAATTTTGCTCAAAATGCGTTTCTTTTACTGAAAACAACGCTTTTTAGTACATGTTCGCCCATTGTACTCATCACCCAAAACAACTTTTTCGACTTTCAGGCCTAAACAGAGAGAGTTACAAAGTTACTAATAACAGAGCAGTATTGTTGTTATACAGGGGTTCCGAGCGGCCTAGTTTCACATATGAGCCGTGTCATGACAAAACCAACATAATGGGTTTGCGACAAGCATGGATCCAGACCAGCCTGCGCATCCGCGTATCCATGCTGTTCGCTTTCCAACTCTATAACAAGTAGATACGCTGATAGCGAACAGCATGGATCCTGATCAGACTGCCTGGATGCGCAGGCTGATCTGGATCCATGCTGGTCGCAAACGCACTATGTTGGTTTTGTCATGACGCGGCTCATATGAATTTAACGTTAACTGCTTACCTCTATTTCACTGCTTTTACCGAGCGTTAAAGTCGCCATTTTATGAGCCCATAGTACGATTTTGGTCACGTGATCATCTGCAGTGTTAAACACATTTAAAACTTTTAGTTTTTTAGCTCACCTGTCACAAAGTGACAGGGTGAGCTTTTGTGATCGCTTTTCGTCCGGCGTCCGTCCGTCGTCCGTCCGTCCGTAAACTTTTACTTTAAATGACATCTCCTCATAAACCACTAAGCCAATTTCATCCAAACTTCACAGGAATGTTCCTTTGGTGGTCACCTTTTAAAATTGTTCAAAGAATTTAATTCCATGAAGAACTCTGGTTGCCATGGCAACCGAAAGAAAAAACTTTAAATATCTTCTTTTTAAAATCCAAAAGAGCTAGAGCTTAGATATTTGGCATGAAACATTTTCTAGTGAGTGTCTACCAAGTTTGTTCAAATAAAAGCCCTGGGGTCAAAATTGTCCCCGCCCCAGGGGGTCATTGATTTTCCCTATATGCATATAGTAAAAACTTAAAAAATCTTCTTTTAAAGAACCCATAGAGCTAGAGCTAAGATATTTAGCATGAAACATCTTCTAATGAGTGTCTACCAAGTTTGTTCAAATAAAAGCCCTGGGGTCAAAATTGGCCCCGCCCCAGGGGGTCATTGATTTTCCCTATATGCATATATTAAAAACTTACAAAAATCTTCTTTTAAAGAACCCATAGAGCTAGAGCTAAGATATTTAGCATGAAACATCTTCTAATAAGTGTCTACCAAGTTTGTTCAAATAAAAGCCATGGGGTCAAAATTGGCCCCGCCATAGGGGGTCATTGATTTTCCCTATATGCATATAGTAAAAACTTAAAAAATCTTCTTTTAAAGAACCCAAAGAGCTAGAGCTAAGATATTTAGCATGAAACATGTTCTAATGGGTGTCTACAAAGTTTGTTCAAATAAAAGCCCTGGGGTCAAAATTGGCCCCGCCCCGGGGGTCATTGATTTTCCTTATATGTGTATAGCAAAAACTTAAAAAATCTTCTTTGAAAAAACTCAAATAGCTAGAGTTTAGATATTAAGCATGAAACATCTTCTAGTGAGTGTCTACAAAGTTTGTTCAAATAAAAGTCCTGGGGTCAAAATTGGCCCCGCCCCGGGGGTCATTGATTTTCCTTATATGTGTATGGCAAAAACTTAAAATTCTTCTTTGAAAAAACCCAAATAGCTAGAGTTTAGATATTAAGCATGAAACATCTTCTAGTAAGTGTCTACAAAGATTGTTCAAATAAAAGCCCTGGGGTTAAAACTGGCTCCGCCCCAGAGGTGTCATTGTTCTTAACTATATGTGTATAGTAAAAACTTAAAAAATTCTTTTAAAAACCCAATGAGCTAGAGGTTAGATTGTTAAGCAGGAAACATCTTTTTGTGGGTGTCTACCAAGTTTTCAAGTAAAAGCCCTTGGGTTAAAATTGGCCCTGCCAAAGGGGGGTGGGGTGGGGCGGAGGTCATTGTTTTTCATTATATGTGTGTAGTAAAAACTTAACATCATGAAACATCTTCTAATAGGTGTCTTCCAAGTTTGTTCAAATAAAAGCCCTGGGGTTTAAACTGGCCCCGCTCCGGGGGCCTATATACAGGTGAGCGACCTCAGGGCCATCATGGCCCTCTTGTTTCATATTCTTTATACCTAAGACATTTGTTAACAATAGAAGGAAGTTGGCAAAATAGGATAATGAGATAACCGCCGTTCCTTCGGTGCTTTATTCACGAATTCGGCGTTACCTCGTAAAAATGGTCTTATTAACGTTAAATCTGGATTTGGAAAATGTCTCAGGAACACCGAATTTAAAAAATCATAAAGTAATATGTACGTTATTGTATTTAAAGATATCAACGAAACTAAAAATCGCCATTGATGCGCTAGTCACGTCGTCATTTTGACGAATGATCTTGACAAATAAACATTTTGATGGAAATATTTTGATGAGGTTTAAAGTAAAATGTCTCAGCAACCGTATGCGCTAATTCATTTCTTCCATTTTGGTGTACAGTAAAAGATATTGGTCCATTTACATATCGCGGGGTCGTTTTAGCCACTAAATTGCACAATTCTGCGTTACTTTTGAACAATTCCAGCGTTATTTGCACATTCCTGCGTTACTGGATATACACGTTGAAAATGTAGCGATAAATAAAAATAAAATAAAAACAAGCGTACAAAATTGTTACCTTGAACTTTGAAGTATAGTGCGACAGACATATTGGCACCTTTCCATGTTGCAAACTTGGCAAACCTTTTTTTTATTTGGTAATATTTAGAGTGATTGCGACTGCATTCCTTTTCAGGTTAAACCATATTGGTAATATAATGAATACAAATATTGCTGTGTCATTTTTAAACTGTTTAAACTGTTTATAATATTATATTCATAAATATACATGTGTTGCAATTTGTTTGATGTCAAGCTATATATACTTATAACTTTAGTGGCCTATAAGTAAATACTGTAACTTTTTATAATATTATAGCAAAATATTTTGATAATTTCATAGTAAATGAGTCAAATACATAATTTAACTGTGGACGAACATTTAAATGAGGACAAATTACGCAGCATGAGATAATTGGTACATAATACGTAAAACTGTACAGCATTACTGCAAGCAATAAATATGTGCCAGCTTAAAGGTAACAAGAAAAACATGTAGAAATCTTATAGAATTATATTTTATCATTGATGTAAAACAGCACATATCGGCAAAAAATCATAATATTGAAGATATTTCACGAATGTCAGACAAAACCCCCTTCTGAAAAAATCCCCTTTATGTATTTTTGTATATCTGGACATAATCCCATCCATGGGTGGACATAATCCCCTTCATGTGTGAAATTTTGAAGCGGACAAAATCCCCTCCATAAAATTGCTACCTAGGACAAAATTCCCCCTAAACAATTAAAATTAAAATGAACACTGTTAAACTTACTAAAATGTTTTTCATATACTTATCAATTTAAAATAATTAAAGAAATTGCCTAAACAAATATTATTGTTATGCAGTTGATAATTTACCACAATTATAATGAACACTGCTAAACTAATTAAATTGTTTTTAATGATAATTTGGTTGATAATTGATCTAAACAAATAAAAAATATGTCTTATCAAGCTATTATAATTATAAAGATTAACTCGATACACAATTATAAATCAAAAAACAAAATTTCGATCTTCATCAATTTTTATGGAGCAAAATAATACATTATTCATCAATTTTTAGCTTACCTGTCACAAAGTGACAGGGTGAGCTTTTTTGATCGCTTTTCGTCCGTCGTCCGTCGTCCGTCCGTCCGTAAACTTTTACTTTAAATGACATCTCCTCATAAACCACTAAGCCAATTTCATCCAAATTTCACAGGAATGTTCCTTTGGTGGTCACCTTTAAAAATTGTTCAAAGAATTTAATTCCATGCAGAACTCTGGTTGCCATGGCAACCGAAAGAAAAAACTTTAAATATCTTCTTTTAAAAAACCCAAAGAGCTAGAGCTTAGATATTTGGCATGAAACATCTTCTAGTGAGTGTCTACAAAGTTTGTTCAAATAAAAGCCTTGGGGTCAAAATTGGCCCCGCCCCAGGGGGTCATTGATTTTCCCTATATGCATATAGTAAAAACTTAAAAAATCATCTTTTAAAGAACCAAAAGAGCTAGAGCTAAGATATTTAGCATGAAACATCTTCTAATGAGTGTCTACCAAGTTTGTTCAAATAAAAGCCCTGGGGTCAAAATTGGCCCCGCCCCAGGGGGTCATTGATTTTCCCTATATGTATATAGTAAAAAACTTAAAAATCTTCTTTTAAAGAACTCAAAGAGCTAGAGCTAAGATATTTAGCATGAAACATGTTCTAATGGGTGTCTACCAAGTTTGTTCAAATAAAAGCCCTGGGGTCAAAATTGGCCCCGCCCTGGGGGTCATTGATTTTCCTTATTTATGTGTATAGCAAAAACTTTAAAAAATCTTCTTTGAAAAAACCTAAATAGCTAGAGTTAAGATATTAAGCAGGAAACATCTTCTAGTGAGTGTCTACAAAGTTTGTTCAGATAAAAGCCCTGGGGTCAAAATTGGCCCTGCCCCGGGGGTCATAGTTTTTCGTTATATGTGTATAGCAAAAACTTAAAAATCTTCTTTGAAAAAACCCAAATAGCTAGAGTTTAGATATTAAGCATGAAAATTGTTCTAGTAAGTGTCTACAAAGTTTGTTCAAATAAAAGCCCTGGGGTCAAAACTGGCCCCGCCCCAGGGGTGTCATTGTTTTTAACTATATGTGTATAGTAAAAACTTAAAAAATCTTCTTTTAAAAAACCCAATGAGCTACAGCTTAGATGTTTAGCATGAAACATCTTCTTATGGGTGTCTACCAAGTTTGTTCAAATAAAAGCCCTTGGGTTAAAATTGGCCCTGCCGGGGGTGGGGGAGGGGGCAGATCATTGTTTTTCATTATATGTGTGTAGTAAAAACTTAACATCATGAAACATCTTCTTATGGGTGTCTTCCAAGTTTGTTCAAATAAAAGCCCTGGGGTTTAAACTGGCCCCGCTCCGGGGGCCTATATACAGGTGAGCGACCTCAGGGCCATCATGGCCCTCTTGTTTATTTTTTATGGAGCATAATAATACATTAGAAACCTATGAAACAAGGGGATTTGTCCGGGTAAGTAAGGGGATTTTGTCCAGCCTTGCAAAAACATGAAGGGGATTATGTCCACCCATTGAGAGGATTTTGTCCGGGTATGCGAACGGGATTTTGTCCGAAGGAGATTATGTCCGTACACCATATTTCACTTGTGAACACCAGTTTCTGTATTTTTACTTATGGTTTCACGTACCATAAATATATCTAGTAATGAAGTTTATAATGATATTGGTGACTTAATAATGTTATACCCCGGTCACATATTCACAGAAAACGCCCACGGAAGAGCCACGGATCAATTCCGGCATCGTCCGTAGCTACCCGTACTGGTCAGTAGCTCTCCGTATTGTAACCGTAATCAATCGTAGTAGTCCTTGTATATCCGTAGCGATCCTTGACAATTTTTGAACATGCACAAACAATTTGCTTCGGAAAAACCAACCGTAGCGTATCCCTATTAGCCCGTATTAAACCGTACTGATACAAAGTGGTCCGTACGAAAACCGATTCGTAGGCCCCAATTTGTCAAGGATTTCCACGGTTTGGTACGGAGAACTACGTATTTGTACGGTTATCCTACGTATAAGCTACGGTTTTAATACGAATTAATACGGCATTGTCACGGAAAGCTACGATCGTAGTACGTTGTACTACGGAGAGGCAGGGATTAGCACGATCTTATACGGTTTATTGCGTTGCATCACGAAACGTTACGGAATGGTACGGTCCACCACTGTTTAATACGGATAAATTAAGTATCATGTACTTTTTAAAGGATATAAATACTACCTTCTTGTTAAAAACAGACATATTTGTATGAACATTCAATAAATGATAATTGCAATTAACTGGCTGCAACTGTATATTGATCTGGCTCAGAATGCGGAGGCAGTGGTCGAGCTGCTTGATGACATGTATAGAGGTAAAAAAGATGTTAATATCGTACAACGATGCATAAGTAATAGAATAACATTTTAATGTTACATATTTTAGTGAAATTGGAGTAAATATGTACATAAAACGAACTCATAGGCCTCGGACGCTGGCCCTTGGGTGATAATAAGATTAATCAACAAGTTTTTTTACATATTCTTAAAACATAAATATTCACGATAGTTAATGTAATTGTAAAATGAACAGCAAATTTTATAATAAAAAGAGAAGCAGTATTGATCAACTTTTTTCATTAATGATTACTAGTCCATATCTAATCAGGTAAGATAAGACAGAGGAGATGGTGGACTAGAGATGGGCTTTTACGAAGACCCCTTCATGTTTAGTATGAGGCTATCATGGCCGAACTTGTTGAGGATGCGGCGTTCTTCTAGAAATTCACTATAATTGGACCTGATATGTATCGGGGGTCTGACGGGATGTGGCCAAATCCTTTCCGCCCAAATCATTGAACTCTGCAATTCGTTTTCTAAGTGTTCTTTTCTTGTGATGCATTTTGAAAATGAGCATGCAAGAGGTTGTGGACGGATAAAATAGGTCTGTATAGATCCGTGGCAATTCGTTCTTCTCCGTATCAATTCGTTCTTCTCCGTATCAGACCGTACTTATTCGTACTAAATCGTGCTTATACCATAGCAGACCGTAGTGTATCTGTAGTGCGTCCGTCCTGATTCGTGTCGCTCGTATCAAACCGTGTCGGTCCGTAACAATCCGTGTCTCTCCCGGGGCTTTTGGTGGTAAATCCGTCAATCTCCGTACTCATACCGTTGTGTGTCCGTACTGGAACTGTAGCGGACTACGGAATTTCACATTTCCGTAGTAATCCGTGAACGATTAGACCGTAGCTCTTCCGTGGCATTATCCATGAATATGTGACCGGGGCTTTACGCTTAAAACAATCCAATCAAATATCTTGTATAATATAATACATGTGTTTCAGGATGGTCTACCTATCGGTGCCGTTGTATTAAAAGTAGACACTGGAATGTCCAGAAATGGTTGCCAGCCTAGTCAGTTATGGTCTTTAGTTGAGGTAAGAAGTCGAGACATCGAAATAATTCATGCGCCAGGCATTTGTATCATGGAAAGGCGCGGGGAAAAATATTCGCGAATATATAATTATAATATATACCCGTATACTCTTATGTCCCAGCATTGGAGGGTTAATGCAGTGCGGGAGCTATTTCCTTAATTTAATACACTTGTTACTATATATAGTAACAAAATTGCCTATGATTTAAACTGATTATGAGTGTCACGTGACCTATTATGAGTTTGCGGCCCTGGACCGAGAACTAGTTATCAGCCCGCAGAACATGTACACGTGCACAAACTGAAACAATGACGTCATATTTTACGTCATCAAACAGTTAACTGTAAAAGTGAAAGTAGGTTGTCAGCACGAATCGCTTTATTTTTATTATGAGAGCTTAAGCGTATTTAGTACAAACACATTGTTGTTACTATTGAAATTTGAAGAAATAATACGACAAAGTTATTCCGAAAAAAAAATTAAAAAAATAAAACTTGCTTCTAGATACTACTGCTTTGAACACACAAACAGTAAACATCTCTGCACAGAACAGTAGAAGAGTAGACAAGAATTTCAACGAAAGAACTTACTATTAGATCTACCAAGTGTATTAAAGACATAAATACACGTCAGAGTAGGGCCGGAAGTGATAATCGGCCCTGAATGAATAATGGCCCTCGGGCTAAAGCCCTCGGGTCCATTATTCATTTTGCGGGCCGATTATCACCTTCCGGCCCTCTCATGCCGTGTATTAGCCTCTTAATAATAACTAAACATTAGCATCACATTGTCAGGGAATTGACGAAGATTTTACCATATTATTTCATTTGAATGGCCTTAAAGTAACGTTCTCCCCCAGCCTCCACCCCGAAAGGGCGGAGGTTTTCCAGGACGTTGCTTGTTCCAAGGTTAGTCCCCTCTATTTTATATGAATGTTATTCATGTATTAACAACTTGAAAACAAATTGAAGAAAAGTTAACATATTAAAATAATTAAAAGTAGATCTAACAGTTAAACTATATATTAACCGCTATCGGCTTAATATGTACATATGACGCCATATGTCGGTATGACTGGAAATTTATTACAAAATAAATAAAGTGGTAAATAAAATTCTGGAAACAAAGTGATCCCTCGGAAGCATTAATCACAACAAAATAACATAAGAATTGCAGACTCGGTTTGTTTGAGTCTGTACATGAGGGATAATGAATAAGTGCAACATCCCTCACGCCCCCTAGCACCGGCTTGAGCGGTACTCAATTCTCAAGAGCGGTACTCAATTCTCAACACATTATAGTGTTAGCATCAATGATCCCGAAGGACCAGAAAATAAAACAACACTGAAGTGAAGTACGGGGCAACTTTTTACGGCTGCCACACAGCACTTGACACCTGCTGTTGTGAAGTACAAAATTCTGGAAACAAAGTGATCCCTCGGAAGCATTAATCACAACAAAATAACATAAGAATTGCAGACTCGGTTTGATTGAGTCTGTACATGAGGGATAATGAATAAGTGCAACATCCCTCACGCCCCCTAGCACCGGCTTGAGCGGTACTCAATTTTCAAGAGCGGTAAAACATATTTGATTTAGCAACGCTAAGAATTTTGAGATTAAAATGTTAGATTTTAATAGAGCTAGTCATTTTCTTAAAAAAGGGAGGCCATATTGACCGTGTTGTACAGAATCATGCAGTGTTATCATGGCTACCATTATTCCATCAAGAACAAATTTTGACTAAAAATTTGACTAAAAAATCCTCTTCATTATTCATACTTTAACTTTTGATAAATTATAACATTGTGTCATAGGGTAGTAATCATTAATAAATAAAATATGAATAAATACTGGTTGTTGTTTTCAATCTTAAATCCTTAATTCTAACACGACCCGCATTTTTCCATAGGGCCTAGGCACGTTGGGGTGATAGTAAACAAAAGTAAAAATTAAAAAAAAAAAAAAAAAAAAAAAAAAAAAAATACCCCATATATAATATATAGACCTTGTCTATATATTATATATGGGGTATTTTTTTTTTTTTAAGGTCTATATATTATATATGGGGTATTTTTTTTTTTTTTTTTTTTTAATTTTTACTTTTGTTTACTTTCACCCCAACGTGCCTAGTCCCTATGCATTTTTCACTATCGAATATAGATGAACCGAAAGTGTGTGTTATTATGCAACAAAATAATCACAGTTGACGTTCTATATTTAGATATGTGACGTAATCATTAAATACATGTGACGTAACACTAAAAAACGCGCTGAAAGTAAGTATCCTACGCCCTCGTGATATAATTCGTCGCATCCGAACTCTGGACAAACAGTGATGTTATTGAGCGAGCCGATAAAATCACTGTTTGGGATATATTATTTCTTAAACACAAATTGGGTCTCGTATTAAGTCAAACATATTTCTCTTCTCTACGTCATTCATTCAATAACTTAATTCAACCGTTATCCTATTATCATAATCCTATAGTAACATGTAGGCCTACTAACCGTTTATAAGTGTTTTTATAGCATAAAATCGGCTATTTTCCCCTCTTTTGCCCATGTTATAACGGGACCAAAACCATGTGTTAACATAGTCACGCGCTCTTGTTATAGCCCGGTTTCACCTAGATGCGCAATACATACAGGGCCCAGTAAACAAACAAACAAAAAATGACGATTTGGCCTGTTTGCCGAAGAGTCATGCGCACTTGTCATATTGAAATTGATTGATTCGAGGGCCTCAGTCGCATATTCAAGTAACTATGCCGGAAAAACGGCGTATAGACATCGGTGCTAATCTTGGTTGTCGCCCTTTCTAAGAAACGGACAGTTGTCAATGTAAACAAATAAAGTAGAATCTACCTGTCCACGGTGATAGGGCGATTACCACAACTTTTCCGCGCAACGTCAAAATATCTTACTTCTGTCCGAGACACCGTATATTTCTGTGGTACAAAATGGACAGCAAGTCTGTAACCGAGACGAAAACAGCAGATAATTTGCTCAAAACAAGGTAAAATCATCATTTTTTCTTTTTCATCGAATGTGCCATTTAATTTGAAACTTATTTATCCTTACTACATGCAAAATGCTTCATTAATTAAGTCAGGATAGTGAAAACATTTAGGGCATACTGAAAAAAAATCTTGCTTTGATTACGAAATATAACGTATTTCTAGTCCGTTCAGTTCATATAACTGGCCAAAATACAATATAAATATGTACATTGTTGTCGTATGAACAAGTTACAATACATAAATAACCCGTTTTTTGTATATTTGGTACGATTTTTATGTTTCCACGTGTGTATTTTAAGGCACCGCACAACTTTGTCAATCATAAGATTAGGGCACCGCATTCTTCCTCCTTAAAATCACCGCATTTTTCTGTTTTTTTAGCACCGTTTATTTTTGATATTAATGTTTGCTTTCAGAAAAAGAAGACGTTCAAACCTATGTCTGAACAAGCCAAAGCAACGTGCGAAATTTGCAAAGCTGCATATACTTCCAGAAGATACTGCAGCAACTGGAGAGCGCCCAACTAAGTCTTCTGATATCAGCAGTACGCCAATGGATCAGCGCCTCCCTGTATTTCAGGACGATATGCTTAACGCACCACATTAGAAAAAGAATATGAAGTCAAACTTTCGCAAAAGATTGTTTAATAAAAGCACATTGGAGACCATGACTGAAGAGATTATGGAAATATTGCCCGGGTTCCTGAAAAAACTACACCATGAAAATTTATGTTATGACTTTTGCAACTTTATCAAATTAGTATGCAATAAGAAATTCCCATTAAAAATATTTCATTCCTTTTTTTTTCTCGATGTTGTTAGATGGTATAGTCTGCCAAGAACTTCAATCTTTCCATGTGGGGTTTATCAGTTTGAATAAGTTCGAAAAGGAAAAGACATCCTTATCTATATATAGATACCATTGCACTTATCTATAACTGGTAGTATTAACACAGATCAGACCTTCTGAAATTTTCCATAACATAACGTATGATAACAGCAACATAACGTAACAGCAAGTAAACAATCTTTCATCAAATGAAACATATTTGTATGAAGATTGCATAATTCAAAAGAAGACGGTGGCCAGTATTTATCGGTCTAACGGAAAAAGAATGCGGTGTTTGAATTCAGTGTTGTACGGTGCTCCAATATTCGGGTCAGTAGGCCTTTTTTCAACATATATTCCCTGAAATTTACGATAGAAACACACAATTTTGTATGGAACTTGAACTTAGGGTTAACCATAATAAATATACGAGCTCGTTAGGTCATAGAACAAAGACATCGTCGTTATAACACACGTTTTTGTGACAGGTACGAGTCATGTTGAGGTACACCCGATCTTTCGTAAACACTATTTCTTCGAAGTATGTGGTTTTTTTGTGAATTGTATTGTGCTAGATTAACGATAAATTGTCTCAAAAATTCGATGGAATACTTAAACAATTGGAATAATCTTGCAATGCCCAGCAGTAAGATATTGTGTAAGCTATAACCTGGAATTTGTTTATCCCGCCATTAATATTTTGTCCAGAAATATACGGTGTCTCGGTCAGAAGTATGGTATTTTGACGTTGCGCGGAAAAGTTGTGGTAATCGCCCTATCACCGTGCTGTCATTCAGTTTAACACTCCGATTAACTTACAAAACTAGATAACACAAAATTAATATGAGAAAATGTTTTTTATTTATGTTAATGTTGATAAATGCTCTTTATATTTCTTTGAGAGAATAGATCTAATGCTTAGTGCCTGTTTTTTTTATAAACTTGTTTGCTTGTAAAAAAAAACCGATTCTGATGTCACTGATCTTTTTTCTACCGTCAATCTGAATCATTCTAAGAATTTCTGAGGGTCATGTTTTGTCTTGGGTAGAGGGTAGATTAATGTAACGTTTTTTTCTTGAGATAATAAATCTCCAAAGGCCAAGCTTTGTTAAATCAATTAAAATTCAAAATTTCATTCGGTTCGAGAAT